AGGAATGCTTATCTTCTCACAGAAAGAAGCCTTACCAGTAACTTAGAAGATCACATGTGCTAAAGAACCAAAGTCGCTAGCCATAACATTTGTACAAAACCTCTGTCAATATTTAGGTATGCTGGCCGTAGGTACTAAAAATAAGTCAAACTTTGAATATAGCTCAGTATTCTGTAAAAAGTGGCAGAAAGATCAGAGGATAGTTTGATGTGTTAGCGGTGGCCCATGCTGCTGAGATGTGATGTAGTCTTCTGTACTAGTTTGAGGTCCCTGAACACTGAAAGTGTTGCAGATATGTTGTACTGTTAGTTGAAAAATGTTTCCAAAAATGCCTGAGCTATTTAGCTAAAGTGGATATACCTCTTCGCGATGCTTGTTATTTCATTCTTGTGTGAGGCAGCAGCAAGCCAGACTGATGAAACACTGTTACAGTTTTGGATAGTTCCTTGGAATAGAATTTGGCAGCTTCTATTGAGGGTTGTAAAACTGTTCTCTTGATCTGGATCACAGCCTTAGCATAAGATTGAGGGAACTCTTAAGTTTTCTCTATATTGTTTTAGCATTTGTGTTCCTGTGTTGGCACATGCTTTTAGTCTGGCATTGTGTCATAAAATCAAGAACAACTATAGAGACATTTGGGAGAAAAATGTTCTTCTGGAACCAGCATCTCAGATGCCAAGACGAAAATATAATTGCAAATATTCAATAGGAACCTGGCTTTTCATCCTGTGGGGAGAATACTGTGATTAAAAAGTCCTGGAGTTCTGCAATGTAGCAGTTTTTATTGTTGGAACAGGACTGTGGATTTGTTTTCTTGCTTAACAGTTAGAATGGTTCTGACCTTTCTTTTTTAGGGTGATGTTTTGTCAGGGACGGCGGCGATGTTATGAAAGAACATAAAGACACTGTAATTGAAATTTAAGACTGTTCTTAAGGTTTAGTGAATTGGAAGATGTGAAGAAAAGATCTTGATGTATCTAGGTGAAGACAGAAAAAACACATCTGTAACAATTAATATGATAAACTACTATATTAATATGATGTGGGCACCATTTGGTTACCTTGCCAATGTACAATTCCTGTGTTCAGTGTGTGTCTCTTTCCTGGTTTGTAACATCTACAAGGAATGGACATTTTCTTCTGTGTGCTTAATGTGCTTAAGTGTCTGGCACATACAGGGCACTGCTGTTACTAAAATGCACTTGTGTAGTTATATTTATAAAATATATATAACTTAGAGTAAGAAAGGGACATTTCCCTGGGAAAGCTCCAGCTGTTCTCATGGCATAGGACAGACAGATTTTTTTGCAACCACTAATTAATTTAATAGAGAATATCTCTTTTCAAACAGATACTTTAATCAGTCACAAACTTATTAAATCTTTCTTAAGTGTAAATGCTTATTAGTGAAGTTTTATTTCACTTTGTTGATTTATTTTGTTTCTGGCTCCTATTGAGGGCTTATCTTTGTGATCAGTATTCTTCACATTGTGGGTGTTATAGATTTCATACCCATATCAATTTGTAGCACTTTCACCATCTGTACTGAAAGAAGCAAAGTCTGCATTTGTTTTGCCTTTATTCATCACCTTTGTAAATAGTTTGAAGTACAAGGAACGCTACAGGGTGCAGTCTTGGGGTTGTGCAAAGGAGAGACACATTTCAGTTGTGGCTGGCTCCTGTGCTGGGCCACAAAGTCTTCATGGAAGGAAAAGCTGCTTGCTCTCAGCACGAACAGCCAGTCATAGGTTACTCTTTTGTCCTCACGGAAAGCACAAGTTTTTTTGTCATAGGGTAGTGTTGAGGACTAACTAAATGGAATTTTTTCATGATGCATATTTGCAATATGGTTTCTTGTTTTCAATCAGCCTTCAAATTCTCTTTGAGCTATAACATCTTAGCACACAAATAAATTTTAGTTAGCATAAATTCTAATTTCTTCTCTTTTCTCATATTTTCATATAACTTATTCAAGCTTTAGTTTCTTCAGACTTCAGCTTCTTAGCATTTTGCAGTGCAGGCACTTTCAATGAGTTAAAAAAAACTACAAACCCACAACATTTTATTAGACTTATAAGAAATTCTTGCAGAAAAATTACATTCAGCTAATGTTTTTACTGAGAACATACCAAAACAAATATGCTGTTTGAATAAACTTTTTTTGGACCTAAAATTCAGAACAAACTGTTTAACAGATGTGCTTATAACCAAAGCAAGCTTAGATACACAAGTGTTTAGATACCTAACTCCTCTGGAAACAAGTGGGAGTTAGATTCTAAATACTTCCGTGGAACTGGGCCAGCAGTATAGTAATGGGTTATAGTTAGCATTGGAAAGCCTGCAATCTTAAGTTCCGTCTTCTCTTTTCTCAGCCCTTAGATGTCTAACTGCTAGGAGGCACTATTTATTGTGTACCATGTGCCTTAAAAGCAATAGGTGGCAAGAGAAAAGGCATTCCATTTCTCTCACTGTGAATTCTGTGCATGAACAGAGAAATCAGATTTTCTTTTTTTCTTGTAATTCATTCTTAATTTTGATACATGCAGCCCTTCAGAAATTCAAAACGGAGTCGACTCTTCTGTGAAGAAGATGACAGACAAATAAACACAAGGTCACCCAAAAGAAATCAGAAGGTTGCGATGGTTCCACAGGTACCTACATGTATGCAGATATTTTTACCCAAAAGGGGAACAAGCCTATCTGTGTTAGTTGAAAATTAGAATACATTTGCTTTTCAAGTTGCATTATCAGTTTATGAATATTCTTGTGAGGAAAGCTGTTGCTAGGAGTAAGCCACAATTCAAAACAGATTTTTTTTTTTTTTTTCCCTTCCTTGCAACTGGGTTCATCAGTTTGTTTATGGGAGTACCTGTTCTTTTTGATCCTGGACATAAGCATACAGAGCTAGAAAGGATTCCAGACTAATTGCCCATCTAATCTCCCACAAAGAATCGTATCCTGTAGTCTACATAAATTTATTCAGCTTCAGTTAAAAACTGGCTAGGTCTCTTGCACTGACTACATCATTTAGAAGGCTGCTATAGAATTTAATGTATTCCAACAGTTAGAGACTTGCTCTAGATTTGTGGCCTAAATGTATTCATGGCCATCTATACCTTCTTAATCCTGTAATGATAATGTCCTGCAATTCAAACAGCTTGTTTTTCTTCTCCACTTGACTGTCTACTCCTTGATGGAGCATGAAAGAGCAGCTGTAATTTCTCTCAGCCTTTTTTTTTGCTATGTTAGACAGGGTAACATCTCTTAGTCTCAAAGAATTGGCTCTCTAGTACCTCTGTCATCCAAAGCACTTCTCTGTACCATCACCTTATAAACCTGAATTTGCCACGCTAAAAAAGTACTATTTGAATACTGGTCTTATTTGCCTTCTGAACTGTACTGTGCAATGTCGAATGGGGAAGACTTAGCAGTTGCTTTTTTGCTGGGTCCATTTTGTCAAAGATGAGGACTGTGACATTTCTCTCTATTCATTACCACGATTTCTTAACAGTAGAAAGGCCTGGATAATATTCTAAGCCCCATTGCTTTGTGCTTAAATGTCTGGTTCAGGAGGTCCAGTGATTGCTAGATAAACATTTGTGAGGGACTGCAGCTGCCGAAGCTCACAGATCTTGCTGTCCTGCTAGGCTTTGTTTCCCGGAGTTCCAGTGAAAGAAAGGGGACCTGTATCTAGAAGGTAGTGGTTAAGCACAGCAGGAACCAGCAAGGTGCCTACCTTATGCTTTATCCTATTATTGCTGCTACTAAAGGTCAAAATACTTTTGAGCATTTGAGGAAGGATAACAACTGATTATGGCATGGCGACCCAGTTAAACTAATAGTCTCAAAAAGCTGTTATTTTTTGCAAATAAGTTTTTCTTTCTCTCAGTTAAGACAGCCATCCCTAGAACAAAATTACAGAATTATTTTTCTATGGTCTTGTTTAAACGCAGGTCTAGGTATTATGCATGCAGTCTAAGACAGTGTCTTTTCTGCAATTTATAAAATAGCTTTCAAATGTAGTTAAAACTTGATTGCTGTGTCCATGCTAGTTTCTCTTGCAGTTTTCTGAAAAGCAGACACTCTGTTCAAAGCTTTGGCTGCATTATGTTCCTGTGCTAGCTTCATCCTCAGTTTAAGGAGAGTAGAAGCAAGAGTTTAAGCAAGCTTAAGCAAGAGTAGAAGCACAGTGGGAGTGAGGCAGTTGGTGTTCCTGGCATCTGAGCCACAACATCACATATGCTCACTTGAGACAGTGTTCACTGGTGCCTCAAACTTTTGAAGTCTGTGTGTACTTTAGTGCCATGCTATTGTTACCAATAATGTAGATTCAGTGTTGGAAAATGTTTCTGTTAGAAGAGCTCTATATAGAGATAATTTGTCGTATTGATCCTGTTAAAGTTTTCCATCTGTTATGTTTGATTGCATTGCTGATATAATGCAGTAAGGATTATTATAGATCTGCAACAAAAAAATTGTCATGAAACAGTATGTGCGATTAAAATGTAACAATTATTAATGTACAAACTGTTATCAAGAAAATCTAGTTTAATTATTTGAATATTGAAGAATGTTAGACTGTGTTTAACTGTTTCCTTTATTTTACTACATAGAAGTTTAATACAACAATGCCAACACCAGACAAGAAAGCATCACAGAAGATTGGTTTACGGCTTCGTAACCTGCTCAAACTTCCGAAAGCTCACAAGTGGTGCATATACGAATGGTTCTATTCAAATATAGATAAGTATGTTTGTTTTATATAATTATCTCTTATTAGTATAGAGACAAGTCATTTTCTGAAATTGAGCTGCAAATTTCCATAAATTTATTTGATACTCCAAAGTTTATTCTTAAATTATTCGTTGAATTAGTTGAAAATTATTTCATTGTTTTGTTGGGTTTTTTTCTCTTTTTTTATAATGAGCAACCTATTTGGGTAGTTCCTTGGGTAGTCTTCTATGGAAATCCTTCCTTCATGGAAATAATTTTCTTTTTATCACCTCTGCGTCTACCAGATACAAGATTTTATTCATAATGTTTTTAGCATTTTAAGCATGAAGTTATCAGAACACTTAGTCTTTTTTGAATCCTTGGATCAGTGTTGCACACAGGGGATGGGAAGGGGACTGCTGCTTCATAAGGTGCTGCTTCCCAAAAAGGTGTAAGTGTTGATTTCCAGTATTTCTTCCCCATCACCCTGTTTTTATTGTGATCACTAACAGAGCTCCGGCTTGTGACTAGCTGTTGTCTAGATATCAGCATCTTTCTTGGATCTCCTAATCTATCTACGAGACTTTCTCTGCAATTTGTGCCTCAGAGTCTTTGGCACTTGTTCTCTTAACGTCACTAGCAAGGTGGCGTGAATTCTTTAAAAGAGCCATTGTAATTTAATCCCTAATCATGAAGAACTAAAAATTCTAAAATGTAAAAATCATTATTGATGAATGGAATCTTAAAATCTACACTGATTGACTAATAGATGAAGCAGTATTATTTAATGTTCTAGAGAATGGCTTCAGAGTTAAGCATTCTTTTCCAGAATTTATTCATAACAAAATAATTACTGTTTTTCCTTCCTATTTTAATCACGATTGCTGTGGCTGTTTTTTCTTGACTGAGAAGGAAGTCATAGCAACAGAAAAACATTTTAGGATATGTTCATCACAAGTAGAAAAATTGAATGTCCATTTTAGTTAGTTGTAAATTCATCATCTGTAGGATTTAATTCCTTTGAAAGAAGTAGTCTTTACATGCTTTTCCCCACCCCCCCTCTTATTTGAAAAAGAAAAACACAACAAAACAAAACCCCAAAAACACAAAACAAAACAAAAAACACAAATCCTACTCATTCCTAGTAGTGAGTTTAATATGTGACATTTATAATTATGATTTTTACAACAGTCCAAGAACTTCTAGTGTATTCTCAAATAATTATCTGTGGAACTTTAGGTCTATCAGTAGACTAGAATTTGAGTTTAGCAGGTCATTCTGAAAACCTCTTTGATAGTTATCAATGTATGCTTGTAATGCTAGTAAGATGTGATCATGTTAAGATATTATAATATAGTTTAGTAAGAAACTACATATCTTTGGAAGAAAAACTTTGATGTATGTTGTTTTGAGTGATATGATCTAGACTTAATGAGAAGCTTAAAAAAGTTTAAAGCATAGAGCTAACTATCGACTGACAAAATATGGCTCACTGTACAAGTCTCAGAATATTTTAATCGAATTGTCTCATCTGAAATTGAAATAATCAATTTAAATGCCATGTCTACTGTAAGTTTTTGAAATATTTTAATCTCTACAACTATAATCTGTGGTTATTAGATTATTGAAGCTGTTTCAGTTGTATTCTCCCTATGCTGCTGCAGAGGACTATTTTCTGTAAAATCTCACTGACTTCTGACATACAGAGACTTCTAAAGAGCTACGTACTATTATAGTGATCATAAGCCCTCAGAACCAGATGCAGCTGTAGCTCACGTACACCATTTCCCAGAGCTTCCAATCTTGTGGATGCTGTGGGTTTACAGTTTGCCTGCTTAGGGAGAAGTGATAGTAAAAACAATCAAATACAGATTCTCTTTCTCCAAAAAAACCCGAAACAGTTGTTCTTTACACAGATACCTGACGTTAGCGACCCTAAATCTAGATAAAATAAAACTTTTACATACTTCCTTGTCTGTTTCCTGAGCCTCATTGATCATTCTTTGTGGTTTCTTTTTCATTTCATGCCACAGCTGCAGATCCTTCTACTGCAAAAATATTCTCTTCCATTCTTGCCTGAGTCTCCTTATCTCCATGCACCTTTCCTCTCTCCCACCACCCCACGCACTCACTTGGAAGCAGTGTTGCTTCCAAGATCCTCTTTGTTCTGTGCTTGGGGATATTTTCCTCCAAACCTGAGCACCCTGCAGAGAGTGGAGATAAGTGGCTTTATCTAGGATGCAGTTATTCTTTTGTTCTCACCAGGTGAGATCTAGTTCGGTTGCACATAGTCTTTAGTGATTAACCTGCTAGTAGACAGGCATATCCATTCCTGCTCCCATGTCTCTTCAGCCCAAGAAGGGTGTGGTACTACAAAGTAAAAGGCAGTCATAAAACATGGAGATACAGACAGGTCATAGCATCAAAGAGAAATTCGTAAGTTGTGTAGGTAGGTTCTCTGAACTATCACTTCTGTAACGCTGATCCTCTGCTTCATCATGGAGTCATGATATGATAACAGTAAGTCTCACCTGTATAGCTATAGAGAATGAGAAGTTGACTCAATTTCCTGATTTTTGGAGCCCTATGTTGAGAATCTGGGTTATAACTGAATGAATTTATGAAAAAAGTACTGTCTGTCTCTCAGTATCACATTGTCCTTTCCTTGATTCTCAATAGCTCACCATATCTTTATGGTTTCCTTCAGTGTGTTGCAGTATCCTCATGACACTGCATTGGCTTTGCTGAAGTTTCATTTGGTGCCTTTATATGCATTACAAAGCAGGATGAATACATATGTTTCCCTGTAGTAACAAAAGAGAGGAACATTTTTAAACATCACTGATAGTAAGGCTCAAATAGAACAATAGTTCTGGAAACTTTCTGTCTTTGCTTTCAGTTAAATTTATTTCAGATAATTTGCCCTTTGAATAGGAGTGTCTTGTTTATATGACTAATTTATACTTTTTGTTTCCAATGTATTTCTTATGATGGATGTTTTTTGGAATCTCATGACGAAAGTTTACTAAGTGTGGTTAACAGAGGACCAATTATGTTTCAACAGACCACTGTTTGAAGGAGATAATGACTTCTGTGTATGCCTGAAAGAATCTTTTCCAAATTTGAAAACCAGAAAATTGACAAGAGTAGAGTGGGGGAAAATCAGACGATTAATGGGAAAACCACGGAGGTACCTGGTTTTTTTCTTTCTTTCTTTTGAACTAACAACTATATGTAGTTTTGATGTTACTGGAGTTGTTCCTTCTAAAATAATTTTGCATGCAGGTAGTAAAGCAAGATAATAGCTAGCTGAGAATAGAAAAACATTTTATTGAAAAGGTGTTCTCTGAGCGCACACTGTGTTTTCCCTCATGACCTGCTTTCCCACACACCCTATTCCTTACATGCATGTGTCCAGTCCATGTAGTTCTCATAAGCCTATACATGAAATGTTCTCTTCCCACTCTAGATAAGTGAGTGTCCGAGCTAGGATATGTTGAAATTATTATTGTATCTTCTATGCTGCCATGCTTCCTGGCATGGAAGACAGGCCAATTTTTCACCCAAGTTTTTTTCTTCCTATAACTAGATCTTCATGGGGAAAATGAGTACACGTTTTCATCTCATTTAATTTATTATTTTTTAAACCATTTTATAGATACTCAACTTTTCCTGGCTTGGCTGCCAAAACAGAGGGAGAAGAAAGTCACCCATAAAACATCATACATTGTAGAGAAGAAGCCAGAATTTAACGAAGGGCATAGTTTTTTTCTTTAATTTAGAATTCTTAATTCTTAGACCCACTGATTCAGTTCCGCCTTTTCACAGAACATATAGAATTTAGCCTAGAGAAGAGAAGGCTCAGGGAGGATCTCACCTCTGTGTATAAGTATCTGAAGGGAAGGCATAGAGAAGATGAGGCCAGGCTTTTTTCAGTGTTATCTGGAGACAGGACAAGAGGCAATGGGCACAAGCTGAAACACAGAAGGTTTGGTCTTAACATAAGGGAACACTTCTTTTTGCTGTGAGGGCGACTGAGCACTGGCACAGGTTGCCCAGAGAATTGGTACAATCTCTATCCCTAGAAATACTCAAAGGCTGTCTGGTCATGGTCCTGGGCAGCCTCCTGTAGGTGACTGCTGGAGGGGTCAGAGCAGATGACATCCAGAAGTCCCTCCCAAACTCAACCATCCTGTCATTGTGTAAGATCAGGAGAAAAATGTATAAGTAGTGTTGCAGAAATAAAAGGCTGGTTTATTTATGATAATACAAACACTAAACCACTGAATCTATTTCATAGATCACTGTACTGAGTTAGATGATATTTTGTCTGATGGAAGCTATTTCATCTCCTGTACCTATAAACAACTTTACATGACTAAAAATTGCCAGTCAACGGAAGGCAGCAGAGCCAGCTTGAAAATAGTTCCTTTTGGAAAGGTGTTCATATCATTTGAGCTTAAGTGAGATACCTTTTTGTTTCTCTATCATCAAGCTTCCCACTGAAAGGGAAAGGGTGTATTTGGAGGTTAAGTCATCACTTACTCATTTGACTTTTGCCAAAAGTGGGTACCACTATAAAAGATCAGCTTGTCTCATTCAGCAGTCTGTTGGACCATTGATAAACCACCTTCTTTTTTTTGTCCCCCTCTCTCTCCCCACTGGGCAGGGGGGATGGGTTAGGTTTGGGTTTTTTTCTTAAGCTATCACATAGTTGTTTTTTAAAAAAGAGAGACTCACACCTAGGGAACCACGGGTCTAAATGGGCAGGAAGTTGTTTTATCTGAACTTCTGAAGTACAAGTATTTGACTGGATAGAGAGTCTCATTTTGTTTGTTAACCAAAACTTTATGAACTTTTGCTTTTTATCAACATAAAATAAGCATTCCTGTTTGCTTTTAATTTCTTCAATAATTAAAAAAAAAAAAATTATTGGTGGTCTTTTTCAAGATGTCCAGAGTGGTCTTTGGCCTTAGTTCTAAAAGATTTTTAATTACTCTAAATCATTTGAATGCTTTTTCAAGATAATTTTCATCTACCTCTAGAGCAAAGTTTTTTTACATTACTATTCTGTTAGAATTTTCTTCTGTCTGTCCTCATCATGTGCAAGTAAGCTAAATACCATGTCAACACTGATCTCTCCCCATGAGGGAAGAAAAAAAAAAAAAGACATTTGCATCCACAGTGTTGATGGCAGAGGATAATAGTGTCTCTGTGTGATAGCTGTGCACATTGTTGTCATCTTTTTTTTTAATTTTGTTTTAAATATACTGTAATATTTTTCTTATGTCTGCTGCTACTTTAAATGTCCTATCACACCATCAACAGTGTGGTTGATTGGCACAACAGTATGGCAGGCTCTTCATGGAGCCTGCAAAGCTTGTAAGATTCCAGTAGACTCTGGGAAAGATATGCTCCAAGAAAAGGAAGAGGTAATAGTTAGTCTTGTGTACTCTGTATAAACTTAATTGGGGTTGTGAAATAGCAATGGATATGAATTAAGCTCAGATATGCTTATCTTGCCGCTATATGGTGGTGATGATTCCTCTGTTAGTTCAAATTCTCATGACTGAGGTAGAAACTGAGAAAAATGTTCAACCTCTTAAGAAGACTCTACAGAAAACTAATAAGGTTGCAATGTGATCTGTACCACAGTTTTAATCTTCATTTTTTCATGGGAATGGCACGAAGTTGGGATAACCTTTATTAAATTCACGTGGGGGACATAGGGTTGGCGATTTCCTTTAACAGAAACCAGAAATAATTTGCAAATACTTTCTGCATCCATGACCTACAGCATTTGGAACAGAGACTTTTTAAGAACATCTGAGCTAGCAGTAAAACAGTAGTTGCTGTTGTAGGGACCTTCCAAGGTCAGTGATTAGTATATCAGTATTTGAATTTGTATTTCTAAGAGCACGGGTCAAAGAACATCACACAATATCTGATGTTCCTGATGCAAGACCCTGTAAAGACCCTGGAGGATATTAGAAGGACTAATATTAAAGTCTGTATTGCTTTTTTTTTTCCCCTTGGCTTTTTGCCTTTTTTTTGTCTTGCTGTGATTAGTCACTGAGTTCTCCTCAATGGAATTGAAAAGCTCTAACCTGCAATCTGCTCCTTCATATTCACAGCCCATGGCAAGCATTATCGCAGACTTGTTCCTCCCCAGTAGTAAATATGAAGCAAATAGCATCTTTAAATGAGAATATCCAAATAAGCTTTGCATAAGTCTCCCAACCACCATCACTCTCCTTCTGCCATATCCATTTCAATATATTTTGAATTCCTAATGAAGATCTTTAGGCAATACACAACTCCAGGTAAACACATTCTGCCCTTCAGTGGTAAACTGGTGAGTGGGACATGCACCTACAGTTGGTCAATCTACAACACAGTTTCTAGACTATACAAAGACTAGTGATGACTTATGTGGTGACAATGATTGGAAAGCCTAGTAAAGGAACCTTCAGTGCAGTCCATTACTGCATGTACCTGACAGAAGGACATCACGGCTTCAGTTCATTCCTGGGTTTTTTGTTGGATTTTTTTTGGTTTTGTTTTTTAATGTCTTGCTTAGGACCAAGATCTCATTATGTTAAAACTGTACGCACTGGACAAAACAGGTGGTCTATGCCCCATGTGACTTAGAAACCATGTATAAGATAAAAGGCAAATGATGTACGCACGTAGACAAATAAGTGTGAAACTGGTGGGCAATATGAAAGAAAGTGGTCTCAGCATCCTGGCAGCTTAGTTCTTACAATCTTCTCATACATACTGCAAGGAAGAGAAATTGTGGAGAACAGTGAAATGGCTTTGTGGAACTCTCTGAGTGAGGGGTATACAGAAGAAAACACAAGAGTGTTTATTTTGGCATATCGCAGAATCATAGAATGATTTATATATATATATATATA